CTTGGTGCACTTCTCTGAAGAGTTCACCCTTCTGCCTCCTAAAGAATCACACAGATACTCCACCTCCTCCATCAATGGGTCCACGTTCTTTAGATCCACACTCTCTTAGCTCCTACCCTGATTGCTTTGTAAAGGAAATAGGGACAGATGGAATTTCCTGGCAAGTGAAGAGGAGCTTCTTGCACTTTTAATGTTTCCTGTGGGTGTGAGCTTTGGATTTCCTTTGTGGGTTTATTACTCATGACTTTCAAGGGCATCTCTCATTTTAAATTACTCTCTTCTATGAAAATGCATTCTCCTAGGTTATGTGAACTTCTCATGAACCAGATTGGCCAGTGGGACATGGCACAGGCTCATTGTTAACACACATGACCCTTAGACAAGTCACACTCTGGGACCATGGCATCCACAGAGAGCAGCAGCAGAGGGTGCCATTTCCCCGCTCTGACCCCGCCTCCACATACAGCGTCATAACCCAGCGACCTGAGTGGCCCCTCCCTGGTGAACCACCTAAGGCTCTGCTCCTCACTCAGCAGCTAGAAACAGCAGAGGAGGTCGCCATTTCCCCACTCTGACCACACCTCCACATACAGCGTCACAACCCAGCGACCTGAGAGTCCAAGGCTCCGCTCCTCGTACTTAACGGGCAAGAACAGACCAAAAATGGCTCAAGAACATCTCAAAGTCCCAGAACCTATAAATCTAAGCGATGAAGAAATAGCAAAACTCTCAGACGCACAGTTTAAAACACTGGTCATCAGGATCCTCGCAGAACTGGTCGATTATAGCCACAAATTAGACAAACATATGAAGGCGAAACTATTTGAAATGAATGGAATTGCACTGGAAACCAATAGCGATGAAAAGGAAACTGGGACTCAAATCAATGGAGTGGACCAGAAGAAAGCAAATAATGGCCAAATAGAAAAGAGTCAAGAAGCAAGAATTCAAAGCAATGAGGAGAGTCTTAGGAACCTCCAGGACATCTTTAAATGCTCCAACATCTGAATTATAGGGGTACCAGAAGGGGGAAAGGCACAGCCACCAGTGGAAAACTTATTTGAGCAAATAATAAAGGAGAATTTCCCCAATCTGGCAAAGGAAATAGACTTCCAGGAAACTCAGGAAGCTCAGAGAGTCCCAAAGAAGTTGGACCCAAGACGAAACACACCAAGGCACATCATCATTACATTAGTCAAGATTAAAATGAAGGAGAGAATCCTAGAAGCAGCAAGAGCTAAGGGGACAGTCACCTACAAAGGAGTCCCCATCAGACTGTCAGCAGATTTCTCAAAAGAGACCTTACAGGCAAGAAGGGGCTGGAAAGAGGTATTCCAAGTCATGAAATCCAAAGACCTACAACCAAGATTGCTCTATCCAGCAAAACTTTCATTTAGAATGGAAGGACAGGTAAAGTGCTTCTCAGATAAGATCAAATTCAAGGAGTTCATCATCACCAAGCCCTTATTATATGAAATGTTAAAGGGACTTATCTGAGAAAACGAAGTTAAAAAAACATGAACAGTGAAAGAACAGCAAACTCACAGTTATTAACAACCACACCTAAAACAAAAGCAAAGTAAAAGGACAGCTAGATCAGGAGTGGAAACATAGAAATGAAGATCTCAAGGAGGTTTAGCAACAGGGGAGTGGGAGAAGGAGAAGCGGGGAGAAGGTACAGAAAATAAGTAGCATAGACAGTAGATAGAAAATAGATGGGGGGTCAAGAATAGCATGGGAAATATAGAATCTAAAGAACTTGAGACACATGGTCGTAAACTAAAGGGGGCTTAATGGTGGTGATGGGGAGGTACGGTGGAGGGGAATGAAGGGGGGAATAGAACAACTGTAATGGCATAATCAATAAAAAATAAATTAAAAAATGATCAGGACTGGGGATGCATCACCATCCATTACACGCACCACACTCAGGACTGTCCTACAAAAAATGGACCTCCTTTCTTGAGAGACACTTTTCCCCCATGAATTTTAACTTGAATTTTTCCCTAAGCAGGTAACCATCACTTCTCTCTGCCCTCACCTGGCATGGAAGTGAGGGTAATGACAAGGCCCAAGACAGCATACACTTACCTGTGTCTCACAGTCTCTAAATCTCCTTAAAAACTGGAGAAAAAACAAACAAACAAACAAACAAACAAACAAACAAAACCCCTGGGGAATAGAGATACCCAGGTTTGACCTGAATTGTGTCTCTGGGCAGCATCACAGTTTAAGGGAACTCTAGGGCAGGTGAGGATACACATCACTGGGCTCGCTGGTTCTATGGAATGGGGGGTTCTCTCCCCTTCTCCATGTTGGCAGAGGGGACAGGAGTGCTTTATAGGCACAGGTGTTCCCTCGGGTATACCTGTGTTCTTGCTATAAGAAGCTTTCTCACTGCTTCTATCCCTCCACATCCACCTCCCTTTCCTTCCTGCTGGTGCAGTTGCCTAGTGCCCTGAACTCCTTAGAGATATCCCTCATCACCTGCAAAACACTGGTGCCATCACTGTCACAGATGTCACATCAACCCCACGTGGCTGTACCATCTCCTAACTCTCAGCTCTCTTATCCACATGGGAGAACTTATTTTTATATTTGTCACCTGCAGAGATCTCACATTGGGTCAACGTGCCCCACTTCTCGCTGTTCACTATTAAATAATGGGGACTTCAGTGGGCATTTTCTGGGTGTGAAGGGTGTGCGGGACTCGGGGAAGCAACACCATTTTTATGCTTTTACAAGTCTGCTAAAGCCCATCATGTGCTTCACCTCAGTTTAGTGGTTTAATGAATGATGCAACTAACTTTCACTTTGATTTCCCTTCATCTGCCACTTTGGCCCATCATGAGCTCCCAGTGCCCTTCCCAGCATAACAGCCTCCAGATCCTCTGACCAGCACCTCATGTGAATATGGGGATGGCAGGTTCCAGACAGATGCGCTGGGAAGCGGATCCCATTATTTCACACATCCCAAAATACCTGCTAGCCAAGAGTGAGTGCCTATGACTCTCTGGAATAAGGTTACTCCAGGGCCTCTGCAGCTTATATAGACTGGTCCCCTAACAGATCTCCTGATCAGCTCACCTGTGGGAAGGGGCTGCACTGCCCTGAGGGAAGTGACATGAAAGGAAGAACACAACAGTTTTAACCTGTCTCAGCTGCAGGGTTTGGGCTGGACTCTGGGCAACAGGAAATAATGAGCATGGCTCATTCCCTAGAGCTGGACTGGGAGAGAGGCTGCACCTGCACCACCACCTGCAGGATCAGGAGCCTCAGCCAGGTTATGGGAAAGACGACTCTTTACTTTATAATAATTTCACATCAAATATCATTTTATATGAAATTATGATCATACAATCTGGAAATGATGATTCTACTTCATGTATTTCCTTCTATTTAGGTAGTTGTTTGGACTTAATCTGTTTGAATATGCACCTGAATAAATCACAGGATTAAAATAGTGTGATCCACTCATCTTGATCATCATTAATTTTTAAATGTAAAAAAATGGGGTGTCCTTTAACCTGATTCCAAGGTACCTCATCTCTCAAGCACTCTCCTAGCAGACCCACTCAACTGAGTCCAAGACAAAAGATGTGCTCAGGCCACAGAAAGACATGGGACAGTAACCTCTGTCCATCCTCACTTATGAGAACAGATTCCCCCATATGCTAATTTCTCTCCCAGCTCTAGGGTACATCCTCCCCTGGGCTTTGGGAACTCACAGGTCTCTCCTCACATGGGCCTGAGGTCTCTGGGGAAGACAGAGCTCTGCTTTATAAAATGAGACTGCTGGGTCTCCTCCTGTGCTGGTGACAGGCCCTCAGTGTGAGTGTCTTAGAAGTCAGACACATATCTTTGGGATGATGGTGATTTCATGTGACTAAAAGGGACTGATGCTCCTAATCCCCAAGCCTCCTGTCACAGATGCAGCAACATGAGTCGGGCCCAGGACTGGTGAAGCCCTTACAGACCCTCTCCCTTACCTGCACTGCAACTGGATTCTCTTCAATGAGTCATTATGTGCACTGGACTTGCAGGGCTCCAGGGAAGGGGCGGGGATGGGTTGGAGTTACATACAGAGTTGGAAACACAAAGTATAACCCAGTGCTGAAATCCCAACTGAGCATCACCAGGGAGATTTCCAAGAACCAAGTTTATTTAACACTGAGAAGCCTGAGAGCCAAGGGCACAGCCATGTATTACTCTGTGAGAGACTCACAGTGAGTGGAAGTCGGCATGAGTCCAGGCATAAACCTCTCTGAAATTGACAGGGGCTACTCTCAACACAAGGGGACACTTGGCAGACCATGAGAATATATCCCACAAACCACAGAACACAAACAAAGGGGCAGGTGTGGACCTGGTTAAGAAGAAAGGGGCTTCTTCTTGGGAGCAGTGATTTCCCCTCAGAGCTGTCAGCTGTATCTAGGGCACTTCCTTCTCTGTGAATCAGATTTTTCAGATTTTCACTGCAAAAAGTGCACAAATAAGTAAATCAGTTCACAGATGAAATACTACCAGGTACCACCAATCTCTTCTTCACCCGCTCCTTTTTTTCTTTCTTAACAAAGTGCATCATATTTTATTATGAAATTATTCTTAAAACATGACCTATGAGTGTTTGATCCATTAGAATAAATTCTATGTTCATACTAAAATATAAGTAAACATTTATAGCCACTTTATTTTTGTTAGAAGCTAAAACAACCTACATGTCCTTCTAAACTTAGAATAAGCAAATTGGGGAATATCCATAAATGGAATTCCACTCAGCCATTAAAAAATATCAGTTGATACAGACATCAATGACAGTGAGTATCAGGAATCACTCAGCATGAAATGTGCCAGGCTAAGAGACTCCAAAAGGGTGTGTCCTGGGGCTCACAGGTCCACCCCAGGAGGACAGTAGGAGGCTGGGCTTTCTGGTCCTTTCTCATTGTTACCATGTGGAAGCTTCACTCTGTGTACACTGACCACACTCTCCTTCTCAACAGGGCCTGATGAATGGACAGCTCCACACATGGAGGCTACTGACAGCTCCAAAAACTTCCAGGCTTCTGTAAATGCATAGTGTCCACCACGAGGTCTTCAGACATCCTGACAGCAGTTGTATCCTTCAGGTGCTTATACCTTTGGTTTGACCACAGGCACAGGGTTTCAGGGCAGCTGACACTCCACTGATTCCCCAATCTCCTGCCATGGCCTTTCACCACACACAGGTCTCAAGCATCTCCATATGTCACTGAAAATGGTGTCATCTACAGGGGAATAGATCTGGAACTCTATGTGATGACTGATTCCCAGCCCTTTTGCTAACCAAATTCAAAGGCACATTCTTCAGCTGCTTCTGGAGAAAAACATGAAGTGACACTCCACACTCAGTAAGGAGCAGAGTGCTCAGATCTGATTACATGTTAAGTCTCATCTCCATGACCCTCCTGCCCTGGTGGGTGAATCCTGCCATGAAACTGAGGATGAGACTGTGAAACGTCCAGGATCCCAGGGGTGCTGTGCCCAGGGAATGGGCTCAATCCCAGGAGTGAGATGGATTGGATGAGAGAAGCCTCTCTTTCTATAGCACCAGCTGGGAGCTCGAATTCTGCAGCCAGCTGATTCTGGTCGAAGGAGGAACACTGATATCTCCACTTCTGGAGGTGTGTGACCAGGCAGCATGGAATTCATGCTGTTACATGTGTCCTTCTGAGGAGTTTCCATTTCCGATCTGGGACAGGGAAGGGAGTGTGTGTACCTTCATTTTTGTTGTCTAGTTATTCCCACTGTTAGCATCTTTTCTGGAGTAAAATTTTCTTCATCATCATGTTCCAATAAGACCATCTACAGTCGTGGTAAAGACTTGTAAAAATGATTTCTACCTTCTGACTGAAACTGCAAACCTTGTAACTCTTCAGGCCCTCATGCTGAATTTGAAATTCTGTCTGCCTTATTTTGTTGTTGTTGTAGTGAGAACTCCACGTGAGATCCACCCTTGACAGAAACCAAATGCACATGCTGCTTCATAATGCCAGGTGCAGAAATGGACAGCAAACCTCTGGAACCTAATCACCCTGTATCACAGGATGCTTTTTGCTTGAGAAGGCATATCCTCTGTGCCTGTCCCACCAGCTCTAGGCAAACACCAAGCTGCCCTGGGCTACTACATCTTGACTGGCCGAGAGTCCTGACATAACAGGAACCATTTGGTGTTTGCTCGGCTGTGCCTGCATCACTTCACTCAGCATGATGTCCTCATGATAAATCTGTGTGGTTTCATGCAGCAAGATTTCTTGTAATTATTGAAATGGCAATATAAAAACAAAACAAAAAAAGGGGCAGCAACCAGTGCTCATCTGAGATAAAATATAAAAGCTGCTTGGGAAGCATGGATCAGGTAGAAGTCCTAATACTGCTCTGACTAGGAGTGAAGGAAAGGGGTTTTTGTAACACAGGTAGGCATGCAGATACAGGACTAGAGGGGAGAAGCTTCTATCACTGCAGACAACCTAAGTTAGTCTCTACCTGCACAAGGTGATGCAAATTCAGAAGATCGTCTCCAATTTTCAGTCCAGTAGTTAGGATACATCTTCCCTTTTAACTGTGCAAAAAGTTGTGTGAACTGCAGTGTTGGGACCCAGTGCAAAGGTGACTGTGTCAAGTCCATATGTGGCACAGGTTGAAGACGGAAGATGTGCCAGGTGGTTTGACTGGAATGGCTTCCCACACTCTATTTTAACACGGGACTACTCATGTCATTTTCTCACATTGAGAATCCATCACATGATCACGTGTCCACCAAAAATCCATGAGTCTACAACAGTGTGGCTCATTCTAGGCTCTAGCACTAAAGCAGACTCCAAGCCATGACTATGTCTCACAATGGAATCTTCCAGCCAGGGAATACCGACTTCCCAAGTTCTTCCTCCTGTGCTGCAAGCAGAAGCCTGCTGTCTGTGTCCCTGACCTGTACTGATTTAGGGACCTCAGCTCTCTGGTGTCACACAGTGCTGGTCCCTTCTGATGTCTTAGTGCACATGGTCTGGCATCTGGCAGTGTCACTTTCATTGTGGTTTATGGCAGAATTCCTTGTATTTCAAGGCTGAGTGGTAACTCTGCATTGTGAGTATATAGCAAACATCATTTATTCATCCCCCGACAGGCATTCAGATTGCTCCCAAACCTTGGGCATTGTGGGTAAAGTGGCAATGACAAGGGAACTCTCTCTTCCAAACCCAGACTATGTTCTAGAGGAAGAAAGCATTGGATGCTGGGTTGCTGGTCACCCCTCTGGGTGGAGGGGTGCCACATTGATTTCAACAGCTGCATCCTTTGAGCAGGGGTCTGCGCTGATGACCGGTTTAGGTTTAGTTTGCTTTTTGTTTTCTTCTCTTTTGGCAAGTTTATTATGTGTTTGTGACACTAGTACTGTATCAAATGTGCAATCTGAGTGTACATTGTCTGAGTGTGTGGCCTGTCTTTCAGTTTAAATTGTTATGGTGTTAGTTATGATGGCACATGTCCTAGGCGCTGGAGCAAGTTACACCTGTGTCAGGTGTGAGTCCAGCAGCTGCTGACCCCAGGGCACTTCTAACAAGTCACACACTTTAGTTCATCACTTGCGGTCTGCTTCAGTGCTGGATTCTAACAAACTGTAGGGCACTGTGATAGGGAAGCCCATGGGTGGCCTCAGCAAATGACAGTCCATGGACAGGAAGGATGGCTAGCCACTTCCAATGCAGCCTAAGTCCCCAATGACCATGTATACAGTCAATGTCTGAGCCCAGCACCATGGAACAGACTTACAGGAAGAGGAAGAGATGAATCTATGCCAAGAAATACATTTATAGGAACATTGGAAAATAGCAAATGTAATGAGCTAAAAGTTGCACTTCACAAGCTGAAGAAAGTCAGGGAATGTATTTGAATTGAGGACAACTCTTAGTATATATTTGAACGAAGGATTCTGTGTTTTAATAACTAGTTGCTCTCAGACTCACACTGTCAGGCCAGTTGCTGGCTCCATTAAAGATCTACCATATGAGGGTAAATCTTGAGGGAACCAGAGGTAGTTGTGTCCTTGCCTGGAATATTATTCTGCACAGGCTCCTCACATCTTCATCCTCACTGACAGCTTAAATACTGGGAATTACATCTGTGCTTTCTCTGGGTTCTCTTTAGTGAGGTATAGTGTGCACTGGACCCAAAGGCTCCAGGGAATTGTCAGGAACAGGTCAGTACTATATGGGCTGGTGGAAGTAAAGACTACATAGCCACACTGAAATCCTATCTCAGTATCAGGAGGAACACCTGTGTGAGCCAAGTTTATTTAACACTGAGCAGTCTCACAGCTGAGGACACAGCCATGTATGACTGTGGGACAGACACAGTGAGGGGAATCAGTATGAGCCCAGACACAAACCTCCCTGCAGGAGACAAGAGAGCTGAGCTATGGGGGGCACTCAGGGACACAGATTGTGTAGGTGCAGGTCACATGAAGGTTAAGGCTTAGTTTCATCTCTGGCCACGGGCTTTCCCCTCCATCAGACATGTCACATGTAGTTACCTAAGAAAGCGATCACCAGGAGTCTAACGTGGATGCTTGTCCTCCATCTAAATGCACTGGACAGAGGCATATTGTTTCTCACTTGGATCTCTTCCCTTAAATACCTTTTTTTTTTTGGTAACAGTTTGTGTTTGTTTTAGGTTGACTGGATCACAAGATGCCCAAAGATTTGGCTGAAAGTCATTTCTGAGTCTGTCTAATCGTGCTTACAAGTAAACTTACCTTTGTACTGGTGTCTCAGAAAAAAGACTGTTTTCTCCAATACAGGTGGGCACTCTCCCCTCCAACTGAGGGACTGACAGGAAGAAACAGTGAAGGAGGGAAAATTAACCCTTTACAGCCTGTGTGCTGGATTCTGAGGCTGAGACACAGGTCTTCTCCTGCCTTGGGTACCCTGGTCCTCAGGCATCACACCCAGCTGAGTTACAGCAACAGTGTTCCCTGTTTCTGCTGCCTGCAACCTGTGCCTCATGAGACTATGAGATTTACCATTATCCATAAATATGAGCCATGAGTCTATATAAAAATAAATGTTAATATCATTTTGGGTCTCATTCTCTGGAGGGCCATGCCCTATGCTACCATAAATCAGGAAGCATGCAACCTTGTCCAAGTTTTTCCACCAGAGCCCACACATGTGTTTCCTTAAAACAATGCTGGGGGTGGGGGGAAAAGCAATGCTGGGCACTCAGTGAACAAAGGGAGGATCCCATTAATGTCACATTATAATTTGCAAAACTGATACCTAACATTCTCTGTGTGCTAGACCCATGAGGCCAATGGAAAAAAACAGAGCCTCACGAAGACACAGAGGAGACTTTGGTAAACTACGCTGATGAGAAGCCACAGGAAACAAGTCCTCAGTCATTGACTTGCGAATAGTTTTTCTTCATCTTAGAAAATAACCAACTGCAATTTGCCTTTAATGTGGGAACATTTCTAAGATACATATGAAACAAAAAAGATTTTTCTCACTCATCAGATTATGTTGGACATTTTCTAAGGAAGATGTTTTCTTAATGCAAGCTCTTAGTGCAATAATATGTGATAATGACAAGTGCAACACAGAGGATAAATATGCAGTGTCTTAAATGACATTGTGACAACATAACTGACACTTGATAAACACAGCATAGGTCCATGGTGCTGTGTCAGTGGGGAAATTCTCATACTCTCCTACATAGGAGCCACACGTGACATTCTCCTGACAGAGAAAACCAATCAGATGATCTCTGTCTCAGGGGCTAAGAGAGATCTCAGTGCCTGTGGGGCTGCTGGATTCAGGATGCAGAGTCCATACATCTAACACTATAGGGGACCATTCCATGTGGCATGGGGAATGTAGCCCAGCCCCCACTTGGAAAAACCATAGGGGAGTGAGTTGGCACACAAAAGCCATGCTCATGGATACGTTCTCCCATGGGGAATCAGGCTGGCATCGTACCTAGGCTGGTATGAGACCTGCTTTCACTAAAACTCCCTCACCCTGAATTGAGGCAGGAAATGTTTACTGC